TCCTGCCAGTGGCGGAAGCTACGGTGGATATAGTATCGACAGAAGGAATGAGCATTCGGTAGAATTCGGAAAAGGTCGTATTCAACTGGCAAGTCCCTGGCCATTGTGGAATAAGGACTCGGCCGAGCCAGTGCGAGCAGTACAAAAGGAAAATGGACGTTCCTCGTTACCATAGAGAAAAACGAGAACGGCACTGGAACGAGGAGAGATGTTAAAAAGAGAAATGGGAATGAGAGAGTTACGAACATCCTACCGATTCTTACGTCCCTCTTTCTTTTTTTTTTCTTTTTTTTTCTTTTTTATTAAACAAGACTCCTATATTCCGGAATGCCGGGGTAACTGCAATAAATGCAAATTCTAGCTGACTATGCCCAACCTCTCTGGTATCGTGTGCTACGCTTTGGAATGATGCCTTCTCTCGCTACCAAAATTTAAAGATAGGTTGGAGTACTCCTGTGCCAGGAAAACTTCTTACCTCTGGTACGAGCCGCGAGAAAGGTAACTGAATAATAATTGCTTTTTTGTCCCTCTGCGGCCGGAAGCTTCCATCATCACGCAGAATTACCCTGTGGTTTGAATGAAACTTCGGGGTCTTTACCAACCTTTGGTAGTTTTAATTCTACCAGCGTTTGCTTTGTTTCCGTATAAACGTTCTCTTCTAGTAGAGATTGCATTGTGAAAATCGTGACTTGGTCGAGGTTCTTGTTAGGGCTGTATTAGCTTAATGGGAACCCGCAGTCCAGGCCTGGACCAAGGGAGGGAAATTTTGACCGGATTTGTCCTTTTGTAATCGGCTGTCGAATTACAAGTTTTTAGGTTAAAGTCTGTATTACTGTATATATAGTCACTGCTGTACTCAAACCCTGAATTATTAGGTCAAACCTTACCGACTGTTTTACGTGGTAATGAACGTAAGGTACGAACGAAGGAAACCCAGAGGAACAAGCGCCGCATAGCAAAGGTCTTTTGATATGCTAAGAATTTGTATGGACTTTGCATAAACGTTCATAGAGCTGAGCCATGGTTCCGTTTCGTCGAAGAAAAATGCATTCTTGGCGTAGTTCGCGAGGGCGAGATAGAGCGGTAAGGCGGGGATTGAGGGTAAAGAAAAAAAATTTGAAGAAAAACCGAGCACCGACCTTATTAAGTCGATTGCCGACTTCTAGGACTTTTCTTTATATCTCCAACCTTAACCTATTTGCGGAAATCGAAAGGGTCCTGTCGACTTATATCTACCGGTGAATTACGCTTCCATGAGAATAATTATCGCAATCGCACTAATTGCAGCTTTAAGTTCAGCGAGACTCGTTAACTGCTTGCAATTTTATGCCCCTCCTTCCTTATACCTTCTTCCGTTCGATTAATCAGTTGCATTAGTCCTGCGCGATTTACATCCCGACCGTCGAGGTCCTTCTGTTGCGAAAATCGATAGCGATAAAGTACAGCCTCGCATTTATTGGAAGCGGATGCTGCGCGGGTTTTTTCTTTTATGCCCCTCTAATTGTACTATACAATTTTATTCGTTTGAATAGAGAATCAAAAGTAATGGATATACCGTGTAGATAAGACCGGGAGAACATCCGGAAACTTATATAGGCACGTCTCCGTGTGGACTAATTTACTTTATTGGATAAATGTTTAAGGGCGAGGTAAAAACGATCGATCTTTGTTTTGGATTAATTGTAAAATTATAGGAAAAATTAATAAATGAAATTTCCATTTGGAGCGTAGCTACGTATTTTGAAATGTTTTACTTGCCTTGGTTTTTAAATTGTTACCGATGTGTCAGGTACCTTTAGCGGGATATCTGAATTGTTCGTTTATCTCTCGTTATATTGATGGAACAATATTCACGTTTGGTAATGCAAACAACGACGTCGATATTGAACATCATCCGAACGGTTGAATTCGATCGCTGCTGGTCCCGGGAGAATTGGAATTTCCCAATAACACAAAACCGCCTGAGAAAACGGTTCGCGACTTCTTCGGATTATCGGCAATATTTCTTGCGTTTCCTGGAATTTAATTTAAAGTTGAATACAATTCTCCGATATCACGATGGCGCTTGTTGGTGGATTGCCTTGTACAGCTACGGCTATATACGTCCTGCAAAGAGTTCCCTTGGTTTTCCCGACTGTTGCCACATTCACAATTGCTATTCGCGAAATCAGCTATATATATATATATATACACATATATATTACATTTGCGAAAAATTTAACGCTTTTGAATTGCTTCGTATCTTCGTTCAGCCACCCTTACTTTTATTATTCCCAGCGCATTTGCATTATTCTACGTCCACCCAAAGTTAACCTGCCTTGCGAATATCATTCGCGTTAATCGACAGCGTCGCGACGCTTCCTCCTCCTCCCCTTTGTTATTTTCAACAAAAATTGAAAATTCGAAAACGACTTTTTTTTTACTATGAAAATTTTATCTTGCGTAAATATATAGGGAGGGATGTTTTAGCGAAATGCTTTACGGGCCATGAGTAATCGATGAATCCGGTGGTCGGGCGTCGCGGCGCCGGGTATTACGCATGGCCGAAATAGACCGAAAACAGTAATCCATCAATACATCCGGGGATCAGACGGGTTCCCGTCACTAATCACTAATTAGTCAATTAGCTCACGCAATTTTGCTAATAACCAACACACCGAATGGCAACGAGCGCACCTGCCGCAGAATCAGCGAGTGACGATCATCCGTCGGCTGTACTTCAATTATAGCTCCCAATGTAATTGCTATTGTAACGGTAAACTTGGCGCCTCCTCTATCCACGTGCGAATACGCCGGGCAGATCACGTACCGTCGCTCCAGTTCGCGTGAACCTGCCAAGCGCACTAATGCGAATTCGGCGGGATTCAATCGACGACGATTCGATATTTCGCGTGGAAATAATTCTAGGACAGGATCGTTAAATTGTCAGGAAAAAAATAATGAGTGTCAGATAACGAGAGGGAAATATATACAGTCGAGGTTTACATTGCTAATAATTATCGATTTCTAGCTCAGTGCCAATTATCGGCATTGCTGCAAACAGGGTCCTCCTGTAATTGACACCCATCGATCATCTGTTGGAGTTTCAGATATTTTCCCAATCACTATAAGTATATCGTTATATCAGTATAAAGAAATTCGATAAACAATGTTAAACAATCTTGGGCAGAACATTAAAAGATTGAAGTAAACTTTTTTCGTACAAAACCATTCCTTACAGTAAAGGTGGGCAGGATACGTGAATCTGGAGAAATTGCTAAATAACTCTGTCGTAGAATTCTTAGCAGTCACGAGGGTGTACTACAAAGTGAAGAAGGATTGTGAAACGGGGCTTGCGCATAGCTAGGCCAGTATGCATGATCACTTCAGGTAAGACACTTTGGGAATTTCCCAGTCGCCAGGATGGTTGAAACGTTGAAAACAGTGCTCTGTGTACCCTTGAGCGCAGCTTACCTCGAGGACGTCCCGACGATTAAGGGATGCTGTAAGATGCGACGAAATTGGGAGCAGCTTCCCCAAGAGAGACCAGCGTCGATGGAGCTTCCGCTCCTCCGCCCTCAACTCGGACTGCCAAGCCCGAAATCTTCGTAACGGTCGTAATCATAGTCCGAGAGGATTAGGGGGTAGTTTGAGGGTGGGAAAGTATGGCGCATCTTAACGCATAACCATCAGTAGTATATCCCGTAAAATATACCCGCATGAAATTTTGGACCAAGTCGGAAGACAAAGTTAAGATCCGTCAATTCTCTAAGGGATGGCTAGTCGGCTAGTCTTGCCCGTTTCTACCCCAGAGCAAAGTTTCGTCGTATTGCCCGCACTCAGGGGTTAGTGCAATGGCGTGCTACCCTTTCGTGGTCGCTATAGAAGACAAGAATGTGGTAATAGCCACGCAGCTGCCACAGTGCTGATATCTAGCCGTAAAATTATAGTGGCAAGCACGGGGAGTTGAAACTAATTACCAAGTGACAGCCGCGAGTCGATCTTACGTCGAATGTCTTGTTAAACAGTGAAGTTGGCTAACTGCGAATCCACGTAGGAAGATAGTCGATTTACTTTGCTGATCTTAGATAACCGTGTCTGTACCTATACCCCGTTGCCAATCTCCAGGTAAAATCAATTCTAGACTAATATCCCAAGAGATGCGGTAGAAGGCAAATGGTTTTTCTTTAATAAATTTAAACAACGATTAATTACATTTTCATGGTATACATAGTCTCTTTCGGATAACTCATACACCTTATACACGTATCCGCAACCAAGTGTCTTCTTCCTCGTCCAGCATCCAGCTCCCTGCGTCTCGCGTTGCTCGACGTGGCGAACGTGTTTGATCTGAGAACGAATTTGCTTCGTCTCGGCCGTGTCGAGGAGCTTACCGTCGTTTGTATAATGTTGAGTTAGGCCGTGTAAATAGAGGCAGCCGGCTAGGTGGAACCTGCCGAACAATGCCTCTTTGTCGAGTTGCAAACGGTTGTTCCGTCCTGGCAAACAAGTTGTACGCTTAGCTATGCAATAACGATATCCTCCATTTACATTGCTACTATATAAGAGAGAGAGAGAGAGAGAGAGAGAGAGAGAGAGAGAGAGAGAGAGAGAGAGAGAGAGATTGAGTCAGATCGATGAGTTAGAGAGGAGGTTAAAGAAAGAGAAATTGAAGGTTCTCGCAATTTTCCTAGTGTACTGTCTCAAATAGTAAAGCATGAAGAAGCTGTTCCTCCGAAGTCCGAAAGGCGATTAAGGCTGTATCCCAGGTGAGGGAAAGAAGATTCCCCTATCTTCTATTGTTTTTTTTTTTTAATACTTGAAAGAATATACATGACGGAGATCGGATACGCGAAAGCTATCGTCTCCATGTAATCGTGTGACTTTGACCTCCTTGAGTATACAGAGCATGTTGATATATGTTAGTGCATGATGAAGAATTGTACATAGATACGTAGAATAAATGATAGAGCTAAAGAGGAAGAGATAACGTGGTGTCTAAGTCTAGCCTTTGCTTCCAGATAACCTACGAGGTGACGTCGTGCAACCGCGGCGCGACCCAGGGGACGATGAACGGGCCCTGGAAATAGCGTCGGGACGGAGACTAGGAAGGAAAGTGCTTTCGCGTGGTGCGCGTTACGTGAGGTATTCTTTGTAATTACGTCCTGGAGAAGGGGTACAAGCGGGACGATGGGGGACCACGTGGGAGGGAGGGCTGTCGCATTGATAACGCTTATCTGGAGGTACGATGGTCGACTGGGGCTTCGGATTCAGTTGTAGAGTTCAGGTGCCACAGGCGGGAGCGACGTTCCTTTTCGGCACGTCTACCGGGACGAGTACCTTCGGCACGCGTTTTATACACTCGATAGGAAGCATCGTGATTCATCGGTGGTGACGTTAATAGGTGTGCAGAGTGTGAGGAAGGAGTGGTTGAGACGGTCAGAGAGAGAGAGAGAGACGAGGGGGACAGCGAATGACAAAGGGAGGAAGTCAGGGGAATACGTAAAATTGTGAAAATTCTTTGAATCGACTAATCGTTCTGCTAGCCGCCCCTTGAGTTTTTAATTTGACGCTTTAAGCGCCAAGTGGCTAGCGTCAAGGTAGGAAGGAGCTGGGGAGATCGAGAGAGAGAGAGAGAGAGAGAGAGAGAGAGAGAGAGAGAGAGGGGGGGGGCACGAGGAGATGAGAAAAGAGGAGGAAGAAGGGCTGGACAAAGGGCTGCAACGCGTCCCAAGAGGCAAGTCCCTCGGCTTCTACCGAGGCGGCATGGTCTCTGCGAGCTAAATTATTCGCGCGCTCTTTGACACTTGGCAGCGCCACTTCCGGAAACTGTATTGCCAAGTTAGAAGGAAGGCGCGTTAACTACGTTACTCGAAATTCGTAGTGGCCCGAACAGAGACTGCTTCCGACACCTTTCACTTGACTGCGGTGTCGGCTCGCTTCTCCTCTTTACTTTTCTCTCTCTCTCTCTCTCTCTCTCTTATTCTCATACTCTCATTCCTTCTTTTGACTGCCTCCTCTTCTCTCTCGAGTGGCTCCTACGACGACGAGTCCTCAATCCTGAGAGCTGCAAGGAACAAAGGAATTGGCGACGGAAACTTCGGCCAAGGCAGAGGACGAACGAGGACGAAGGGGGGGGCGAACGGGGGCGAATGAGGGCAGAGCCCCTATCCGTACACGCATTGAGTTTCTAATTAAACTTAAACTTTTAATTGACTCGTTATAAAGTCTTTCCCCGTAGAAGCCCTCACATACGAGCTTCTTGACTGCTCGCTCGTTCGTTCGCCTCGCTCGTCAGCTACCTGCGCCTGTTTCGACTTCCTGTTCTAAGCTGGTCCACGGGGCAGATATTTATTAGAGATACTAGTACACGGAGCGAGGTTGAGAGCGGGAGACCAAATAGGAAGAAAGAACCATTGAGTAAGAACAGTGAGAATCCTAGAGTCACTGAGCTGTAGCTGCAGTAGCCTTTTAGATTTTCTATATATTAGCGCAGAGATAGAGCAGTGCGTGTTATCGATCAAACTTCTAGAAGTCAGGAGATTTATCTTATCGGGTGTTATTTCTTTACAGTGAACTAAGGAACGCCATTTTGATTTAGTAATCGACCTGTAACTGCAGTACAACGAAAACTTAGTCGGCGTTTATAAATTGCGTATATATACGTAAACACAGCCAAAGATATTAGACCAAATACGCAGTTGGTATAGAGGACACGAGTCGAAGGATTCTTTTTTTTACAAGGACTTTCTATATATCGTACGTAATTGAGATCAGGACATATCCGGTGTGCTTTTTCGTCTTTGATACTTATACATACGTACTGTGCGGGTTTCGTAACGATTTAAACACGAATCGATAAGAAGACATTATTTGGGTTTGCCTAAATAAAACGAAGGTCGCAGTGAAACTAAGACGGTCAGTGCGTCCGTAAGTTGTTTCGGTAAACGTGGGACTCGGTCCGTTGCTTTATCATCGAATCAAGTTACGTTTGGGGGTTTTGATACCTTCAAACCCAAGACAGGAATCCTGTCTTCTGTAAGGATAGTTAACGTTGAGGAGTGCAGGCACCGAGAACCGGTCGCCAAAAGGACCCCCATGAAAATGCTCCAGTCCCTGACCGCTCTGGCGAGTAAAATCTCGCCAGGCTCGCCGACCGACAGCAATGCGAACAAAGTGCACATGCACAACAACAACGTGGTGCATCATCCCCATCCGTACTCGAAGCAGCAGTCGCGGCCACCGTCCCAGCCGAACAACGGCGACCAAAAGGAGAATACGTAAGTCCTACAATTTAGCTATCAATTTTCACAATGTCCCATATAACCAAGTGTATTGGGAACTCTATGCATGCATGTACATCCCTGCGTGCGGCAGAAACAAAACAAGACTTTCTTTCACTGACATATGTAGCCTAGTACCTGTATATATAATACCTGTAGCTACCTTCAAGCTGTTCCTGGAGCCCACTCGGTTGCCGGCCTCGTGGCGTGTTCAAATTTTAACTTTAAAGCAATTTCTCGCTCTCGAGATTGTCCCCCTTTCCCGCCTCTCGCGCGCGCCCTCTTTCCCGTCATGTTTTTACTCTGTGCTTTCCATACTCTCCGTAGCATCGGAGAAAGACAGACATAGCTTTATCGCTTTTACGCAGCGTAGACGCGGAAGATTGCTTCCTCCATCCTGTTTACGCCCGAGCTGGATTGCTGTAACGCTTCGTGATTTTTGGATAAAAAGAAAAATGATAGGGATAACGACGAATTTCGGGAGGGGCTGCAGTAGCCTTGGGACATTTTTCTCTTTTAAGTTATTCGTTGTTTCTTCTGTCTTTTTCTTTCTTTTTTTTTTTTTTTTTTGAAGTCCTCGTATAGCCAAGAATGCTTTTTGTCGCTTTTAAAACGTTTGCTTTTTACGGTTTAAACGGTTTGCTTTTTACCTTCAATATTTTCATGTCCCTGGCAATTTTTTTTTTTACGCACGACAAATTCATGTAACCACAAAAAAGAGAAATTGTGTCGCGTTACAAGATCCTTAGCCTCGGGCAGGTGCCATAAGACGTCTCGACCTACGTCATCTTCTTCCAGAAGAGCACGTCGTTCGCTTTCCGGAAGAACGACAACGGCTGCGCTCCTCACCTCGCTACGGCTATTTCGTCGTTTTGAAGTCGCGGTGGGATCGTACCGCGACATGGGAGGAAGAAGGTTGAGACTAAGGATGCCCTTCTTCATTATTTGTTACGCCACATAAGCATGCTGTGAATCGTCGGAGGCCTAAAATAACTTTACCGACATTCCCCTATGCGAAGCCTTCAGGATCCTGCTTGAGTTCTTCCACTTCCCTTTACGTATACGAAAATCATTCCCAGCCCGGCTACGAGCTCCTCCAGTGACCCGTGTAAACAAATTTTCGTCGATGTTAAGTCCACCGACTAGAACGATTGTAGACTGGAATTTCGACTTTGCGATTCTGACAAAAACGTATATTCAGTCTGTGGGTATAGATTTTTCAAAATTTACATTTTTAGTAGTAATCTACACCCAAAAAGGAATCAAAATTGAAGCAAAAAAGATCTACGTAGATCATTTGATAAATGATCTATGATAATCGATTTGACGTTTGAGAACCCACGTAAATCTTAATGGATTCACGAAAATCAGTGATTTTTAATTTTTTAATAATCTTCCCGCGGTAATCTCAATTTTCATCACGGAGAATATCATTTTTTTTTTTTTTGGTTGCCCGATTTACAGTTTCGTACAGATTTCGTATATCCTGCGTGCCACTGTTATAAAAATGAAAATGTCTATAAAAATCGAAACCAAGGAACCGCCAAGTCTAAATTCTAGTCTACAATCGTTCCATTTGGTGAACTTTACGTAGACATTCTGTGTAGGTCTACCGTAGATCTACATAGACGACAATATTCATATACGGGAAGAGTCCTCCCCATACTACTGTTCATCGCTGACTTGAGTTCTATACAATCCTGTACGTAGGGGAAGAAGAAGTAGGGGACAGACCGGGGCTGCTAGGCTAGTTTTTTAGTGTTTGATTTTTAATTAAATAGCTGTGAGAAATATATATTATATAGTATATTAGGCTATCTAATAAAATTCTTAAAATCCAGTTATGAGGATAATTATTTTAAAACCATTTTTCTTTCTAAACCCTTCCGTGCTGATCGACCAACCCCATGGTCGGGGTTGTATGACCTATAGTGTACGGGGCAAGTAGACCTAAAGCTAATGTCAAAGAAAAACTCGCTCATAAGGTCAAAAAATAGCACATTGTTTTATTGCAAAGTATTATAATCTCGTGTGACAGTTCAAGAACGTGCGACAGCACTGCCGCGTCCAGCGTAACTGAGCGAGAAGGGGTGCCAACTTTTCGAGTGAAACGTGGTGCGCTCCAATTCACATTCGTGCGCAGTTATTGACGGCTAGTCCACCTATCCCTATGTTCAACCGGCCCCGGTGTGCTCTGGCCTCTTACGTAAAGCCAAAATCGTATCTCCACGTCGTTACACTGAAAGCAGACGTAGACGTGGATTTGAATTTCCTCGAATTTTACCGGATCGTTATCACTCGCTTTATGTCTTATCACACGATATAGAACGGTATTACTTTTTGTCTGTTTACGAAGATAATAGTATACGTATACAGTGGGCAGACTATGATCGTTATACCGGTAGTATTACGATAAAGCCAGTACTCGTGCTTAACTGTATATACTCTATTCGTCTTTTCTACTCGCATATGGGAGAGAGACTCTTCTACGGAGGTTCAGAAGTATAGCTTTTACAACGGCACGGCAATCCATAAAGTGACATCAATGATATCCGTACGAGTCTTCGTGAGATTTACGGTATCCGCTTCTACGCGATGGGACAGAACGGAATATATCACACTTTTGTCAAGCTCCATTGTGGCTCGGCGGGATCCAGCAGTGACTTTCTTGGGAACCATTCTCTGTATCGTGGACGCGGTTATCCCAAGGGAACCAGACGGTAGATCACTCCCGATCCTTGGATTCGCCTGACTCCTGCTACAGTCTACCGAATGCATTCTGATTTCTCGAGCGTTTCGGAAAAATTTACATCGATCTTTCTTTCCGAGTGCAAAAGAGTATTAGACATTTGTATTGCGACCATAAATTTCGGATATACAGATATACGTGTGCATTTGTATCTTATTCAGATACGTGACTGGCAGGTGTATACGGCCAACGAGCGATATTTGAAGTTTTATAAGAAATTTCGAAGGATGTTTTTTATTGGATTTTTACGTCCATTATTATATCAGTGCAGTGTCATCGTGGCTATCATTTTTAACGGGTTACGTCATTTACCTCCTGGCGGACATTCCCTTGAACAACGTATATTACTTGTGTGTTTTGAGAAATACTGGATTTTTTAAAAAATGACTAGCAGTTTAACCGTTAAGTCACAAGACGCCTGAGACACCTCTGATATTATTGCTAAGGATAAAAGGAGGTATTATGGAATTAGATTCTCTCTCTCTCTCTCTCTCTCTCTCTCTCTCTCTCTCTCTCTGCTCGAGAAATCCATCTGAAAATCCTTGCGAATCGAATCAGGTTACTCCCAGAAGGTCCAGACCTCCACAGAGGGCTATCCTGCAATATCCTTCGTCGATCCCACCTAATTGCTCAGAGTTCTGTCTTAAATCCGACACTCTGGTACAGCCAATTTATCGCGATACTGACCTCAGGACAGAGGAGCCACAGCATCTGTACGAATCTCCCATGAGAAATTCGCACGTCGCAATTTCTCTAATATACTGGATTGTCTGGTAGAAGACCACGATGCGTAGACATTACGTGGACATTACGGTTCACGGGGTAGCAAAGGAGGAAAAAAAGTTCTAACAGAAGACTTGTTTCACACGCATCCGAGCATTCTCCACGAGAGTATCTCGTGTTACTCATCCACTGTGTCCGTCGTCCGTCTTTACCCCAGGACCGTTTTCCTCTCATTTTCCAGTAGCATTATACGTTATCACTGATCCTCGCCCGCAGTCCGACAATGCGGTTACGTCTCACGCGAGTGAGCTTCAATCTTGCCCATCTCGCTCTGCTCATCTCCGAGTACGCTGCCGACGCGACGCGCCATAAGGAGATGTGCTGCCTACTGGGTGCCAAGAGAAAAGTTAGCTCAAACTGGGAACTAGTTTGTTCTATCTTGTTTGTTCCTGGAGTTCCTTTGCCGGAGTACGTTGTTTACCGCCACGGGTCGAATCCCGAGACAAACAAGAACGTGGCCGCATAACCGGGAAGTATCCGAAAGAGAGGAAGAGGTACGTATAACGGAGGATGATATAACGTTAATCTTAGGAAGTAGCTTTTTGGCGGGCTTTTCGAATCCTCGGTGATTCATATTCAGGAAAATAGTTCGAGCAAGGGAACAACTTTACATTTCCTTATGGGAATCGTACATTTTTTTATCTTACCGACCAAATAGTATCCTGGACTGTAGGAAAGCTAATGATTAATAGTAATTAGGCGAGATGAACCCCAACGAGAGGTGCGTACCATCTCATGCGCGTTCTCGCCGTCCAAAGAGTCAAAGCAGCGGAGTGCCCAGGAGGGTAGAAGCGGACCTAAATTACAGTAGTCTAGTTTGGCCGTGGCTATTTATCATGCGTCAGCGGGCGCCTCGTGTGCTTGATGGAAAATGAATGGCCGAGCTATGAACAGCGTCGGCCCAAAAACGCGGCGGTTCGTTCGTTCCAGAATGATTTCGAGTGCCGCGACGCAGCGCTACATTCCCCGCCACCAAGTCACCGTCACGTAATTCTAAGGAGCTGGCATGAGTGTTGACTATCATTCGCCAAATAAACGTTGGCTTCCGCTGAGCTGACTCATCTTGCACGTAGCGCTAGGTAAATGACATTGGAAACTTCTGAAAATAGATAATCGCCAGTGATACTGCCGGAGAAGGCAGATATCAATATATTCGATAGAACGACTAACCTGACTTGTTCTACCGTCTTACATGTTCATAGTGCACTGCCGTATAATTAGGATGATGAACGACGATACGTTAATTAAATAGCGTCGTCCCATCTGTCCAAATTGGACCGCGTATGTATGTACGAGGGACCGTGATGGATCGTGCCAAAAGTTTTCTACTTGCGTCCGGGTGCCAGTTATATCGTTCGCGTATCGTAATTATGAACGATCGACTTATCCGCCGGTAAAAAGTTCTCCTCGCTCGTGACAACGGACTCGGGTAATCTTGGCCGATGGTGACGAATCTTCGATTTTA